CAATTCCATCCCTTTTTGGGCCAATTCCATCCCTTTTTGGGCCAATTCCATCCCTTTTGGGGCCAATTCCATCCCTTTTTGGGCCAATTCCATCCCTTTTTGGGCCAATTCCATCCCTTTTTGGGCCAGTTCCCTGTCCTGGGTGTCTGAGGTGTCCGTGTGTCCGGCAGTTCTACGGGTACCTGTCTCAGCAGCAGAACATGATGCAGGATTACGTGCGCACGGGGACGTACCAGCGAGCGATCCTGCAGAACCACAGCGACTTCAAGGACAAGGTTGGACTTCAGATCCTTTTTTTGGGGTTTTTGGGGTGATCTGAGTCGGTTTTAGTCAAGCCAGGCTCAGATTTTGGTTTAAAACTGAGTTTTGGGGGTGTCCAGCTCTGCTTTTGGGGTGATCTGAGTTGTTTTTTGTTGAGCCTGGCTCAGATTTTGGTTTCAATCTGAGGTTTGGGGGAATCTGGTTCCGTTTTGGGGTGATCTGAGTCGGTTTTAGTCAAGCCTGGCTCAGATTTTGGTGTAAATCCGAGGATTTTTGGGTTTCCAGCTCTGGTTTTGGGGTTTTTGGGTGATCTGAGTTGGGTTTTGTTGAGCTTCATTTGGATTTTGGTGGGAATCTGAGGTTTGGGGAAATCTGGTTCAGTTTTGGGGGTGATCTGAGTCGGTTTTAGTCAAGCCTGGCTCAGATTTTGGTGTAAATCTGAGTTTTGGGGGTTTCCAGCTCTGCTTTTGGGGTGATCTGAGTTGGTTTTTATTGAGCCTGGCTCAGATTTTGGTGTAAATCTGAGTTTTGGGGAAATCTGGTCCAGCTCTGTTTTTGGGGATCAAATAAGGGATCAAATTAAATACAGATCAAATATAGGATCAGATAAGGGATCCAATTAAACACGAGATCAAACATGGGATCAGAGCAGCTTTGGGCTCCATAATCCCCGGGATCCCCCTGATCTGATCCCTGGGATCCCCTTGATCCCCCTGATCCCTGGGGTCCCCCCCGTGATCCTCCTGATCCCCCTGACCTGATCACCCTGATCCCCTCCTGATCCCCCTGATCTGATCCCCCCAATCCCCCTGATCCCCTCGATCCCCCTGATCCCTGTGATCCCCTTGATCTGATCCCCCTGATCCCCTCCTGATCCCCTCCTGGTCCCCCCGATCCCCGGGATCCCCTGATCCCCTGATCCCCTCCTGATCCCTGGGATCCTCCCGATCCCTGGGATCCCCTGATCCCCTCCTGATCCCCTGATCCCTGGGATCCCCCGATCCCCGGGATCCCCTGATCCCCCTGATCCCCGGGATCCTCTGATCCCCTCCTGATCCCCTGATCCCTGGGATCCCCCTGATCCCCAGGATCCCCTGATCCCCCTGATCCCCTGGTCCCTGGGATCCCCCTGATCCCCCCGATCCCCAGGATCCCCCGATCCCTGGGATCCCCCCGATCCCCGGGATCCCCTGACCCGATCCCCGATCCCCGCAGATCGTTCTGGACGTTGGCTGCGGCTCCGGGATCCTCTCGTTCTTCGCGGCTCAGGCCGGGGCGAGGAAAATCTACGCGGTGGAGGCGAGCACCATGGCCCAGCACGCCGAGGTGAGCGTTCCCGGCATTCCGGAACATTCCCGGCATTCCGGAACAAACATTCCCGGCATTCCGGAACATTCCCGGCATTCCGGAGCAAACCTTCCCAGCAATCCGGAACAAACATTCCCGGCATTCCGGAACAAACATTCCCGGCATTCCGGAACTTTCCCGGCCGTTCCCGGCATTCCGGAACATTCCCGGCATTCCAGAGCGTTCCCGGCATTCCGGAACATTCCTGGGATTCCA